AATAGAAAGTATCTGAAAATTTCCAAGAACAACATGCGTAAATTACCTCAAAAATTCATGTTGTATCCGGGGAAATTTAGCAACTCTGGAATGTTGATATGGCGTTTTTCCTCAGCTCGGGAGTATGAGCGAGCGTGGAGCAGCGCGGAGATACCTGTCGAGTCGAGGATGAGGTAATTACAGCCGATTGCTATTAAAAGATGCGCGGATAGAGAAACACACACCGATGCACGTGCATACGCACACGGCCACTCGTAGGAACACGAGAAGTCCAAACGGAACGGACATCGACTGCAACCGTTTCGTCCGTTTACCTTTCGCTGGAAAAGCTCCTCTATCTCTAAAGTTGAATAAAAGTCCAAGTTTCGCTCAAAATCGCTCCAGCGATTAATTATTGAAATTCATAGACAAAGCACTCTTCAGAGCAGGACTACTGATTTATTAAGTTTCTCTGACTCTAAAGTTAAATGAAAGTCTAAGTTTCGGTCAAAATCGCTCCAGCGGCCTGATTGTTGAAATTTATGGACAAAGCATTAGACAAAGAATACATAGGAAGTATGGAGCGATCCGATTGGCTGAAGTGGTTGGTTCCTATAGACTAAGGGAAAAAGTGATGGACTAACTACAGGGTATCTCGTGGGTTGCCGTTAGTTAGTCTCTTACTTACCTCCTTTGTTCATTACAACCACCCGCTTCCACCAATAGGATCCCTATATATAGTCCTTTTGTCTTCTTTGTCTACAGCTTTGTCTGTCAATTTCAATGATCGGCTCGCAGTTTCAGTTGGGTAAAACGCGCAACTGCCGGATTCAGTATTAGCCGCAAGTTTCTTTGTACCCGTGTGTGTTTGTCTCTGATATGAACACAGAGATTAATAAGCTTAGAAACAATCAATTTATGCTCAACTTTACAGTAATATCCTCAAATAACCCTCGAATGCGCCCCTGGATGACACAAGCATTCAAATACACTTGGAGACTCCAACGCAAATTCAGAAAAAAACGACCAAATTTAATTCAGTTCTGGAAGGGTATGGAAATCTCCAACCTGTGAATACACCATCATTTTTCTAATTTTAAAGATTTTCCGCTTATATACACAGATGAGAAATACTTGGAGACTTTAACGCGAGCATAGAAAAAATGACCAAATTTAACTCAATTCTGAAAGGGTAGGACCATCTCCACCATGTTAATAAACCGCAATTTTTCTAGTTTTAGAGATGTTTCACTGATCTAGATGAGAACTACTTGGAGACTTGAACGCGAGCATAGAAAAAACGACCATATTGAACTCAATTTGGAAAGGGTATACATATTAAGTATGTATCTGCCGTATGAAAATACATTCAAATTTTTCTATTTAAAAAAACTTATCAAGAACCATTTTTTTTTTTGCTCATGAATGCGATACCGCGTAGGAAAAACCGCATTTCTGCCGAATACACGACTATTCTCAGTCTCTCAGCGGATTCTCATTCCAGTGGTAGTGCCTGATTCCGTCTATATAGCATAATAGCAGTCTCGCTGAATTGTTTTATTTTACCATTGAAGACCATCGCGGCAACGTTTAGTGGGTGATTTGATTCAAATATAGATGTTGGTTTTTTCAATAAGAAAACCTCAAAAAGAAAACTTCTCAAAAACCATGTTTTCGCTCATGAATAGATTCACGTGTAGAAAAACCGCGTTTCTGCCGAATTCACAACTAGTCGCGGAGTCTCAGCGGATTTCCATGCCGTATTGCCGTAGGTAGTGTATTATAGGCGTGTTCCGTTTTCCAAGATGGTGACAGGTGCTGCGTTTTTGTTTCGAAACTCACGACCGTCACACACTCACGACCGTCACACACTCACGACCGTCACAAATAGCTGAAATTTGAATAGGGAAAACTGTGTTTAAAAAAAAAAAAATCAAGGACATTGAGACCATGTACGTTTTTAGATCCTGCATGAAAACCCTCCAGAATTGAGGAAAAACACCTCTTCCCGGGAAAATGATGAACTTGATTTTTCGACGTTTTCCACCCTGATATGTCCACTTTTTAAAGTTTCGCCCAGATTTTCTTTTACTTCTTTAATTATATTTATTTTAAAACATAGGGTATCTAATCCTAGTTTTTAACAGAAATTTAAATTTTTATTGGTAAGATCTTTTGAAATTTTAAAAATTTTACTTATTTGCACACACTTTACCACTTATTTACTTTATCAGGATACAGCCCACTCCACTTCCACTCAATTGTTTTATCGTACCAGGAGACTGTCACAAGGAGACAGGATAAAACTCGCCGTTGACACGCGACCAGATCTAATTTTCTTAAAACCACAATACTGGAGTTACAGCTCTCCTCGGTGACACGCTAGAATATCCGACGGAGTAACTCCAGAACTCGTTGACCCCCGGTGAACTATAACAGTGAAACGCCGCGCTGTAACGAGAAAGAATTGAAAAAGGGAAAAAAACCACAATGAGGAAACGAAGTAAATGAACGGACCTCCCCGAGTCAGCGGGGTTCGGAGCTTCCAGGGCGAGGGTATTCACATCGTACGCTCCTTTTTTCTCCCTATAAAAACTTAACTACTCTTACCGTAAATCGACTCCCGTCGCCGTGGATCCAGATCCAGAAGCAGACGGCTTTTTTTTCGCGTAGCTCGGACCATAAAAGCTCAGGCCTCGGGTTAGGGAATGGGTACTTGCACTGCGTATGGTATTTTCATCCCAACTGGTCGGTGTGGCAGTCGCTAACCCCACTCGAGCCGTTAAACGCGAAAAACCTCCGTATGGACCTTCCGACGTTGCTGTATTTGTTTCGCCAACATATTTATTATTGTCCAAAGTCATGGAAACTTTGACATGAATTTTCCAGACGCGGTCTCTCGTGGGTTGCCGTTGGTTAGTCTTTTATCTGCTTTTTTTGCTCATTGCAACTGCGAAACTTCCTCCGATAAAATGTTTATTTTTGAGGATTGGTACACTGGAAAAAAAAACACATTGGATCTAGAAGAGTCCAGAGTCTTAAAAACATCGACAGTAAAAAGTACCATTGATTCAATCAGAATCTAGCTTAAATCAAGAACCAAGCCTCTTAATTTAAGCGGATTTCGTTTTGATTCAAGCAAAAATCCGATTGAATCAAGAGTATTTTTTCTTGTCAATGTTTTCGAGAGTCTGGACACTAGATCCAATGTGTTTTTTTTTTCCAATGTATGAAAATTTTCTTGAAATTTTCAGATAATTAGACGTATCTATGCCAAATGGAACTAAATGCAAGTGGAAAGATGGAGTGTGCTTGTGCAAGCTAAATAAGAAACAACGTAAAAGTGGATATAGATCCTTTTGAGAAAATCTAAAAGCGGGATTTTACATTAAATCAAAAAGAACTGAGCGATAACTCGTGAGCCGTGGGCTTATGACAAGAGCCTTATTGATAGGGCTCATGAGTTCAATCGCGGCAACGACGGCGACAGCGGTGCCGCTGACGTCACTGACGCTTTATATTTCCCATTCATTCTTATGACCCGAGCAACGACGAGCACACCTCATCTTTCCACCTGCACATAGTTTCGTTTAGCATAAATACGTCCAATTTAGGTCCGATCTCGAATAAAATTCACTACAGGAAACCAAAGCCAATTATTCCCAGATATTCCTGAAAATCTATGTTTCATCAAAGGAAATCTGGCAACTTCTGAAGGCTCATACGGGGTTCTTCCTTAGCTCGTCAGCACTCGTTTTAACCAGTGAAGTCGTCCATTTTGTCTTCTTTGTCTATCGATGCCAATAATCGGCCTGGAGATAAAGGTTTCGTTTGCGAAGATTCGCAAGAAAGGTGGAGAAATGACAACTCTGGTCGACACCCTGACCACTCTACCACCTGGATGGTTTTAATAGTGAGTGATTTCCAAGTAATGATCCTCCTCTGCCCTTCAGCGTCGCGGCGCGCGGCGTCGCACAGTGAATCGAGTCAATTACAAAGATCTGACAAGAAATTTTCAAGTAAAACTGAAAATTTTGATGTTTAATTCGTCACATTTTAAACTTTTAGGGTTGTTTCTGGCAGCAAATTTCACGAGGAGACCAATGAAACCACTTTTAGAACCTTAAAGTTTTGTATAAATGGAGTTATAAGCTTTTAAAGTTTTGAAATTTTGTCCGACCTCACTCATTGACTCGATCCACTGTACGGCGTCGGGCCTCTCCGTTCGTGCGGAAACTATGAGCTACTGGTACTGGCGACAGCGTGCCCGTGCGCTCTGATGAGAGGAGCTGAACCACCCACCACACCCACCCCGTCGTCGCGTCGCGCTAGGATAATCGGTAAAAAAGGGGACGGAATTATTTAACCCACTGAGACGAAGCACTAATTTGTAAACTGTCGGATTGAGATTGAGGCAGGTCAGTGATTCTCTTGTGTCTGGCTTGACAACGGAGTGCCTTCTCCACTAACGCTCTGTCTGAGAGTTTAGTGTCTACTGCGGGCTAAATGTTGAAATTGATAGATAAAGCTATAGACAATGAAGGCAAAAAGGGATGTGAAGGAATCCTATTTTGAAAATAATTTTGTAGAACTGACAGAGAATTTTAGGTCGGGCCTGAAATTTGCCGTGAGCATCGTGAGAACTGGTACGATTCCCGTAGTTTTTGGGGATGATAAGTTCTTGAAACGTCGAAAACCTGGGATAGTATACGACTTTGCATGGTATTCACCCCAGACGGTCACTCAACGTCTTGAAGTCGTACAATTTTACCATCGAACCGTAAGTTATTCGGTTTCATATTGATTTTAGTGCAGTTCCAATCATACCTGAGCGCTTTTTCGAATGAGTTGGAGTTTCCGACCGGATATGTTTTATGGAATATGTTTTCATGCAATCAATAAATGTTAAAATCCAAGAAAACATTTCACCCAGCAGTGGTATTTTTTCTCCTGAAAAAAAAACTCGAAGTCTAGGAAAGGCATTTAGGTAAATAATGTGTTAAAATAAAAGTCCTGAATAATTTTTTTTTTTTTTTTTTTTTTTTTTTTTTTTCCGATTGAGTCGATACCAATAAAATTTCAAACCTTTTCTCTAAACACCAGTCTAATGTGGGTTATAGTATTTTCCACTGAAGTTGACCCATTTGACTTCCTAGCCCAATTATGATATTGTAGTTGATATTGTTCTGACATGCTAAGGAAACACGCCGTATAAACATTCGAGAGTTGCCAAATTTTGCATGCCAAATAAAACATGTATTTTTAAGGAAAGTTATTCGTGGTTACCCTTGAAATTTTTTGATATTTTATATCAAATCGCGAACAAAATTTTTAAAGAAAAATATTCGCAAGTTTCCCAATAAATTTAGTATTTATGAAGAGAATTTGGTAACATGTGGAGGCTTATACGGCGTTCTTCCTTAGCACGGCAGTAGTAACGTCATTCGTTTTGTGATGGTCGCGCGATTAATGACATGTATAGGATAGCGTTGGCTATTGCGGTGGCGGCACATTTTGGTACAGTTTCTTTTTCAGCAAGTGTCTGATATTGTAACCATCATAGTATAGATCACAGTATTGCATTAGTGAAGATGCTTCCTTTGCTTTTACGTACATAACAAATTTTCTCTCTTTGGCCAACTCGTAAAAGTATTCTTGCACGGCCTTTAGTTTCCATACGGGGTCATTTCCCACGTCGGCCAGTGAAAATCTCGTCGCCATCGGTCTCTGCGTCAAGAACCTAAAAAATTATAGATTTTAGTGGCCCATAAGAAATTGCAGCAATTGTACGCATTACAAAAATTCCAGCACCAAATCAAGGCAAATGAATCAGTTCCAACGCGCAAAATGGAAGACCTAATTTGAAAAACTTTTTTCTGAACTACTCAGCCGTTCACCGAAATTGTGACTTTATTCGGCATTTTGCCGCATAACGCTTGTCTGACTTGGAACTTCTGCTCTTTCTCAACATCTCTTCACTCACCTCGCAAAGTAACTCCCTTTTAGACCAATATCATTCTTCCAAAATAACGCTATTTATTATTTCCAGCGGTCCAAAAAGATCCTTACTTATCATCAAAGTTCTTTTGCCAAATAATGTAGTCCGCCGTTATTTGGACGTATTCCTGCCAAACGGAACCAAAGACAGGCGAGGAAGAAGGGGTGTGCTCGTGCTCGTTAGTTGAAGACCGTAAGAATGAACGGGAATTATAAAGCGCCAGTGACGTCAGCTGTGAAGAAGCCATCGCCGTTTTCGCTCGGGGTCCGCACTAACGCATGAGCCCTGCCTAAAACGCTCTTTTGCCATGCCCACGGCTCATGAGTGCTGCACACAGTTGGCAAGTAGTTCTGTTTGACAAAATGTAAAATCCCGCTTTTCCATTTCTCCAAAAGGAATCACATCCACTTTTACATTGTTCCTTATGCAGCTCTCTAGAGCACACACCGTTTTTCCCACTTTTCTACAGTTCCATTCGGCAGAAATTCGTCCATTTATCTTTCACCTGGAAATGCACGGATCAGAGTTGCGAGTTCGACCGTGTTTTGATGATCCTGACAGAGCGTCAAGCGTTGCTGAATTTAATCTCACTCGGTGGGTACAAAATTAAAGAGATCAGCTAAGAAATATTCGCATTTGGACGTAATAGCTATGGCGTTGACATCCAATGCAAACCCAGTAACTTACCTCGGTGGGATTTCAAAGACCTCTGAAGGTGGTAAATACTCCCAGTTACCGAAATCTACATAGTACACTTTAACTTGGTCCTCCGTCACATCGGTTATGACAGCTCGACAGATGACTTGATCATAAGTGTACCTTGCGAGGCACTGTGTACCAGGTATCAATACCCCTTGGATTGATGTAGGCTTAAAACTTTTATCAATTTCCACCAACAGTTCAGGCAGGAATTTATCAGCATCAACCTGGGGGTAAAATTGACCAAGTGAGACAAGAACTTTTCTAAAATATAACTACAGATGATGGCTCTTTTCTGTATCTTTATCCCTTATTTTTTCCGCTTTTTCTTGTTTATTCCTCTTCATGCAAATTGTCGAAACTAATGCGTCATCGTGTACCTAATGCCAGTTTGACCTAAAACAGCTCTGAGGCTGAATTGGATAGCATGTTGCAATTAAGAGCTACAATTCCTGACCCATCGATAAAAACACCTATCTGCATCGGAAAACTAATGGAACATATGTTGTTTCTAAAATGAACTAGAATTTATAGCTCCTTATTGCAAAATTAGGTCCAATTACGTTTCAGCCTTATCGTAATTTTTCAGTTTGCGTCGCCATATGCATATAGGTGAGTGCGCCCATCTATTTTAATGTCTTGCTCTCGTTAAAAAAGGACTTGCAGTTAGCAAAAATTCTACCTAGAAAATGTTAATTTACTCTTCTACCCACTATTTTCTCCCCCTTCCCCTCCCCGCTTGGAGGACTCAACTTGCATGGATTAAAGCGTTGTTTTAAGGAGCATATTCCAATGGCTGAGGGGTGTCTCTTTCATTTTGTTTTCGTATCGGTTTTTGATTTATTACTCAATCAGTTTTTTTGTTAGTCTCTCTTAAGATTAAAAATCCTACAGAATTGTATTAAAAGTAATGAATTAATATACATGAAAATACCTTTAGTTGAACGGCAAAATCAAACACTCCATCTTCAACGTATGAAATGTATACCGAATGCCGAGAACCAGGCGTAAAATTTATGCTAATGAATCGTGGAATTGTAGGATTTGTCATCTGTGAGAATGGGGTGATAGAAGGGGCAGCCGCCGGTGTACAGGCGGCGGTAAAAGTAAGTAAAGTATCTAATAAGACCGTCACATCAGAAGGGAGTGTTGCAGTATGTGGTTGTCCTGGTGGTACTGCGGCCACATCAATAACTCCAGTTGAAACTAGAGGCTTACATACAGGATTTAAATCCATCAGTGATCGTTGGCTCTGAGAGAGGTCCTGTATTAAAGCTTCTTGCGTCGGTAAATCGATGTGTCGAGCAAGACCTTCCGAAATTAGAATGCTCGAAAAAGTTTCAGACGGCTCTAAATTCAGATAAATTTGAATTATATTTTTCACTTGTTCTCCATCCAGAATATCGCATCTGAATGTTTTGTCGACCAGAGTATGCTTTATGAAGTCCACTGTTCGAGGTGGCCAAAGAGTGTCAGGTGCTTGAACTTCAGCGATGTGAAAGGGGGAGGCCATGAACGGAACTTCAGTAATGGAAGGATACATGCTGTCGGGCGTGTCTATGAGTCTTAAACTTTTAAGCCGAACGTTCAGAGTATTGCCATAATCTACGAGAAATACAGGAACTGTGTTGAGCTGTTCTAGTTTATCCAACGATAGGATTTTCACTCGGAAAAATTCGTTGTTCCTCACTTTTAACAAGCAGAGTTTCGCATCCCTGAGTTGCTGCACAGGTCTTGTGACATGGTTCATATCTAGGACCGGAGAGATCTGTTCGATGTCGCTTTTCAATCGTTCGCTTAATTTTTCATCACCCTGTGCCCATGTCCGAAGAAGGCCGCCGAAGGCCTCAACATGCGTGATGTACAAGTCTTTTTTCATTTTCCCGGCTGCAATCAAGGTCGATCTTATGACTAAACGTAGTGGGAAAACTCACGGACACCAATGAAGACATTTAGTGTTCGACCACAAGTTGTTCACATTTTAAGAGTCACACGATGGATTAAAATGGATGCGACGTCAACTTCACATGACAGCGGCACTCGCAAAAGCAAATGAAAATAATAACAGTCCACGTGTGATTTGTGAAATGGGAGAGCGAGCGCAGTTGTCAAGTAGGTCTGAAAGATGAAGCGATAAAGAATAAGAATGTCGGTCATCTAATTATGCGTAACGCTCTTAATTCTTGAAACTACATTTGTAGAATCATTGTTTCTTGATAAGACGTCCTAAAAAAGGGAAAATAAAATATTGAAACTTTGTAACTAGATAAACAACACAAAGTAACCCATGCCACCTATACCAGCGGGCTGATTATTGAAAGTGATAGACAAATCCATAGACAAAGAAGACAAAATGGACATAGAGGAATCCTATTGGTGGAAGCGAGTGGTTGCAATGTACAAAGGAGGTAGATAATAGACTATCTAACGGCAGCCCACTTGTCTATCGTTTTCTCCCTTAGTTTATAGGAACCACCTATTTAACCAAGAACGTCGCTCCGTACTCCCCATGTCTACTTTGTCTATAGCTTTGTCTACCAATTTCAACAATCAGCCCGCTGTATTTTTTTTTTTTTTTTTTTTTTTTTTTTTTTTTTTTTTTTTTTTTTTTTTTTTTTTTTTTTTTTTTTTTTNTTTTTTTTTTTTTTTTTTTTTTTCATGAATCAGTATTATCGTACGTATAAGTAATGCTGGTATTTTTCTCTTTTTATAATGATTCTAAAGCATCAGCTTTTTACACACCCTCATAAAATTGCACAGCAACTCTCTCTTTATTTCAACGAAATTCAACCGTTTCTGTGCATCACGAAGATTCACAGAAACTAGACTAAAGGAGTGAGCGTGCCCAATAGTGGATCTAGTTTTTCTTTAAAAGGTGCGTCTGTCGGAACTCACGATTGTGACTCGTTGAGCTATACAAACGGAACTTGCCGTGCGAAATTGTTAGAAAACAGGAGATCATATCCATTTGCGTCAGATACTTGGGCGTATTTCTGCCAAACGGAACTATGTGCATTATGACGTGAGCTCTAATATGCATATATTCTTATGGATCTCAGGGCTCATGTCTTAATGCTCATAGTTCCGTCTGGCAGAAATAATTCCACTTGCAAATTGGAAAGAGGTTCGTCGAGTAAAAAAAATGATAGCCTCCTGAATTAAAGAACCCCTTGTTCCTCGATTTTTAGCCGGCACACAGTAGATCGAGTCAATTAGAGAGGTCGGACACGAAATTTTTCACTAAAACTGAGGATTTAGGTGTTTATTACGTCACGTTTTAAATTTTAAGGGGTGTTTCTGGAAGAAAATTTCACGAGGAAACTCATAGAGCCACTTTTGGAACCTCAAAATGCTGTATAAACGGAGTTTTAGGCGTTTAAAGTTTCCAGAGTTTGTCCGACCTCTCCTATTGACTCGATCCACTGTGCGGCGAATCAGAATACGGACTTCTTTTAAAAACTCCCAGGCTGAATCTATGAAAGATTCTATTAAAATCTGTTGTCTATAATTTGGCAACGTTCGAATGCTCATACTACGTTTTTACCTAGCACGGTAGCATAGCGTATCCATGTATGTAACATCTTCACGTGTGCGGGCTTTGAGCCGAATTTTTGAAAGGAGCTCATTTGAGTTGAACCGAGACGTATCTTTTCGAAAGACGATCGTCGAGGTTTGAAGTTCTCGGAGTCGAGCCCGAGACGGAGCTTGGGGTCTACCAAGAACCACGTATCTCCGGGCACAGATAAGCGGTTTTAGCCGAGAGTTGGTCATTCTCGGGTGTCTCCCACCTGGATCGTGCCCGGGGGTCCAGGCCGCTCAATTCCTCGCTAATATGTTCTTTCCGCCTGGAACGAGTTTTACAAACAGATCCATCAACCATCGATTGTCCGCCGCGGACCCGGCCCCACCGGGGTTTTCGACTCCGGCTTTTCAAGAGCCCCCTCCTCCCCCCCTCCTCNCGCCCCCCCCCCTTCGGCCATGCCGGCCCACCGGGACACCGAGCGGTCAGAGCTTTGGCCGCTATCCCGTGCTTGCCAGATCGAAAGGGTCACGAAAAAATAGTCGATTTCGATTCAGTGATGTAATACGGTAATTCGCAATGCAGGGTGATCCAGGGTAAAAGGGCCAGACTGCAGGAGCCGAAACATCCCCAAACCCCCTCTTTAAATCGAGATTTCAATTTTTTAAGATCGTGTATGAATTTAGGGTATAAAATTACAGAGGAGTACAAATTTTCATGACATTTGGTTCACAACCGTTGCCAAAATCAGCAAAAACGATTTACTTTCCAAAATTTTGGGGAAGGGGGGCCGTAGCTCCGACTGGGGGCACTTTTGGAAAAACTGTATACAACAAGGAAGTCTTATTTCGACCCATAGATAACGCTCCTGCAGTCTAGCCGTTTGACCCTGGATCACCCTGTGTACGCTGTGGTATCGTATCGGTGGCCAAAGCGCAAAACCACGTTCGGTATATTTTTATTGAAACTTCTTGGATTTTTCTTCTGCGTTAGCAGAATATTCAGTATACATTTCTAGTAATTAGGTTGACTTTTTTCAGAAATTGATTTTTTCGGATTTTCAAACTCCGTAATAAAGATACGTTGTTTCGCGTTTTGGCCATCGATACACTAAAACTCTGGCAATATTGACCATATTTTTGGTAAATGTTGCTGTTTGTATAGAAGCTCCCAGTTTTTAACTGAGTACCTTTTCACACATACAAACACCTGAGTACAATTCTGGTCATTGTAAGAAAAAAAGAAGAAAAAAAACTGTAACATAAGGGGGGGGGGGTTCAAAAAACATGTTTTGGGGCTTTTTAGACCAGAGTATTCGGTTGGATCCGGCAACTTAGTGCCACTCGGAGTGTTTTTTCTTGTGTAACAGTATCCTGCGGTGGAAAGCGAGGCGACTCGTATGACACTCGAGGCGCTCACCGGATTAAAAGAAAAAGATGAAAAAGATGAGCAAGAACAAGAGATCGGAGGAGGGAGAACAGAATCAGACTGAGCCAGAACGCGCTCATCCGAATACTTTTGATGACGCTCCAGCCTCGGTGTGGGTGGAATGCCGCGCCAGTGAGCATGCGTGCATTCACAAGTATTTTACTTCATTCATGTCTTTCTGTGCGGATGTAGGTCAACGCTCTGAATCACCTATAAGGAATTCAACATAACGTTTACACTCGTATTAAACACTTATTTTATTCAATGGTGTTATCGGGAGTTACCATCATTAATTGAAGATTGCTACGGAGATGGGGAAGAGAGATGGAGAAAGATCTTTCTCAGGATGGGAGAGGGATGAGTGAGTAAGGAATGATTGAAGATCGATCTTGATTTTAAAAAAAAGGAGTTGCCACTTCAAAAAGTTCAAAATACGAAAGAACAAATTCGATGGTTTTAAAAACTTCGACGGTAGGTGCGAACCCGTGGCGAGGCGCGAATGATCGATTATCAATCGATTTTCCCATTTGAAACTATGGTTAGGAATCGGTCATTACGGTGTTTATTGCGAACACCCTGTTCATCGATCCTTTTTCATAGGTTTAAATGACATCTCAATCGATGTATCGCAAAGCACGTCACTCTACTGGTGCGAGCCAACCTTAAAATTTACAGAATTTTTAATATATTTTCTCTTGTTTTCTCTATTTTTTGTGGTAAACCATCGTAATCCCTCGCAAGGGCCCATTTTCAAAGTTATAATGCTGAATTTTACTCGAGCGGAGCGAAATTTGTCCTTTTTAAGACTGTAAGTTAGGGATATGCTTGAACCCCCTTTAGTTACAATATAAACCATGTAGGGACTCCTTAGGAAAGGACTTGTTTAAGGAACGACTATGATTAGGACTAGGATTACCCTGGTAAAAATTGGCAGTAGAATCTGTGTTCCAAAATACCAAAGACCTACAGCCGGCTGTAAGATTTCCAATAGCTTCTATAGCCGGCTACTCAATTTCTTATAGCCGATGGCGATTAAGCAACAGCCAGGCGATAAAGTGTATGCTAAGCGTTACTAATTACGGATGCTAGGACGTAGTGAGTTTTTGGAATACTGCTCTCTTTTTGGGCCCTAGTATCTTGATTTATTTTGCAAGGAAAGCTCCGTACTTTTGATGGATGCCTGCCATTACTAATATATTAGAGCGCCTTCAGTTTCGTATGATACTGTGCAATACCTCTGGTGTGAAATAGTTGCTTCAAGCGCCGTGGCACGCTGCGGCGCGGCAGGCGGGCAGCCAGCGCGAAATGCGCATTAGCGCCTACAAACCTAACAGGGATACTTCACGCGTTGCGCAATGCGTGAAGTATCCCTGTTAGGTTTGTAGGCGCCAATGCGTCGCCGCTCCACTTTATGTTAGGCTCTAATATTTAATCTGGCGAAGTCAGCGTTATTCAACTCATGATTTTGAAATTTTTGCACATCCTGTATGGATTATTCTCATTTTAATTGATGAAAAAAAATATGTATTATAGGAAAATATAATGTGTGTTTAGTAAATATTAAGGTGCTTCCGTATCAAACTTAATGATTTCCGAAGCAACAACCAGGCGATAAAGTGTAAAGGCCGGCGATAGGAACTATAGCCCGGCTGCATAATTTTTTATCGCTTCGTATAGACCGGCCGTATGATTTTCTCCGCATTCTACAGCCAGCTATATGATTTTCTGTGGCCTTCTTTAGCCGGCGATAAGAATTCCTATGGTATTTTGAAACGCAGCTTTTATCGCCAATTTTTACCAGGGTAGGAATATGATTATAACTGCATGAAAGTCAGTTGACCGTAAGCCGGTAGGACCTTTGATTATTAGTGGCTGTGGGGTATCTCGGCACGGACAAAGCGTCGTTTGACGTCACGAAAGAACGTAACTATATTTCAATGTTGTCGAATTTCCCTCGCAAATTGCATATTAACTACGAGAAATTTGGGCATTGCTAACTGAAAATTTCACCGATTTTTCCTCAGACTTCTTGTAGAAATTTATAAAAAATGTTGATGACAATTTCAAAGGTTTAATTTTGTAGAATGAATGAATTGTCTGAGTCTATTTGCAGGGTTGCCACAGTCAGGGAATACCGGTA